GTTCCTGTTAAATCAGGGATTAACGGATATCTGCATATCCCACCGCATCGATCGATAACTGCTAACTATCCCCTCATTCTCAGCTCAACTCATGAACTCAGCACAAAACTCTCTCATACATTTAAAAAAACAAGATCCAGACGCCAATATGAAAGTTGAAACAGTGTTGAATCTGGCACAATTTCGGCACGACATCCGGCAACACTGGGGGTCGGTATCGGAGGAAGCGCCTAATTGAGGGACAGCTAATTTCATTGCTTATGGCGAAAAGGAGCATCGCGAACAACGCATAAGCCACTTTCCCTCATCTACGAGTAAATTTCTTCCTCATGGTTGGTCCCTTTCCTCCGAAAACTCCCCAGGAGTGGCTACCCAGGGCGGGAGAAAAAAAAAACGGAATTAAATAAAAATCCTCAGAAAACGGGATTCAGTGTTCTCCACAACCTCGAGGAGATCGGACTTCAAATTTGCTGGAGCGATTCTGCGGTGAGAGCGGAAGAATCATGCCAAAATTCGTCGCCGTTGATGCTCTCAGAGAGGAATAGGCGGAGATCGAATTTTGCGGCGGGAAGGGGTAGAAGAAAAGGTAAATGGGCGCCAGCAAACCCCATTGATGTGGGCATCATGACTGTGGGACGCATTCCCAGTCAGAAATATATAAAATCCAACCTTCTTGCTCCTGGTATGTCCACACTTTTTTTAAATGTTGCATGGGGGAAACTTATATTCTGATAGTTTGAGATTCATGTATATAGTTACCGTAAAATTCAAATTTGTAGATGAAAAGACGTAGACAATTTTTGCTTTTTCTTGGCTATTAACTTACATTGATTAGCAATGAGCACTTGAGAAAAATGTATTTTCATTTGTTAATTTAAACGAAATCTTCTATCGACATTGACAGTGATTCCAATCATCGATGAGATGATTAGAATGCCGTAATAATCTTTAGCAGGTTATGCAAGAGGTATGTCCTGGCAGAATTTCATGATTGCCGATTGTTGATCTGACGTGGAATGACCCCCGGGTCTCCTTCCGCACGCACCTTACCATTGGAGCTATCGTAATGCTTCTGTGGTATCTCCCGATTGGGAACGGCCTTTGCAACGGCACGCAAATGATCGTCAGACACACGAACGCAAATGTTGTAAATGTTCAGGTGATCACGGGTGCGCTTTGTGGCAGCGTTCATTCGCTACAAAGAGTTTCACTAGACACGTCCTCCTACTTCAGCATGCCGTTCGATCTTTGTCGACGTCGATTCCTTATCAAGCTTACCTGCAGTATAACTACGAACAAGACTCAGGTACAGTCACTAGATCGAGTCGGATTACTACTTTCGGAACCAATATTCTCGCAAGGACAATTATACGTTGCCCACTCGCGAGTCTGTTCTGCGGATTTGTCGAAGATACAGGTTATCAATGGACCGAAGCAAGGCACCACTGATGTTTGCACCGACAATGTAGCCGACAATGGTGTCTATGAGGGAGTATTTCTTTGATTGTCAAGTTCATTCGTAGGGACTATATTTGTTCCTTATGAAATGAACTCTCCGTTTCATTGACACATGGGTCGCGTTTCCTGATCTTCCATTGTTCTTACCATATTTGCTTACTTTACACATGTTGAACTGATTTTTGGTTATTTTGTTGCATACTGGCAGATGTAGCACGCTGTGCCTTTGCATCTGTTTCATGCATATAGGTTCCATCGCGTATTGTAGATCGAATTTTGATAGCGGGAATCTGGCTAAGACTGTTCTTAGTAGATGAGCCGTGACAAAAAAGTATAGGTTCTTTGGTAGAGGGTTTATAATTGCGACCACATGCCGCTGGTATTCATATGATACGCTTGCTAACGTCTTTCTGGACGACGCGGAAGAGTCTGGTCAAAGTGGAATCCTAATGAGTAATTTCCAGACCCCTATTCAACCATGTATAAACAATCTCAGCATTGCCGAACGTCTTCATCGCAATTGGGTGCAATGCGTTTGTGCCATTTGTTGATCGAGATCTGGTTGTATGAGAGATATTGAAAAAGATTGACCAGAATAGATATGTTTACAGTATTCAAAGATTCCATCAGGTCATCTGAATGGCAGGCAATATCGAAGAGCATTCTATACAGGGTCATGTCCGCGAATTTTCCGCCTGTTCACATGCTTTTCCGTCTCCATTTCCTGATCGTATGATTATTCTGAATTACAGTACAATATCTCGTTTATGGCAGGGGGAAGATCTGCCAGCACATATATGCTATCTTTATGGCTATCTATATATGCTATCTTTACCTTTATGAAACTTCCTCCCTATGCCTACCCCAGTTCAGCCTCGAGCCATATCCATATAAAACACCAGAACCACCATTTTCTCAGTGGTGACATACAGTATTTTCCTGGCGACATTTGTTAGTGACGACATTTTGCCCGGCTACATTTTGTCCGCGACATTTTGTGCAGCTACAATTGATCTGCTCACTTGCTGTCCGCCTCGAAAGAAATATCAGAACCTAAGTCACTGGGTGCACCATGAAGTAAAGTAGGGAAATACACAGGTCTCCTTGGACCCCAGGCCTGCAGTATCAGGAGTCCCCTTCTGCCGAGGTACCTCCTTCACGGACGTACGGTACAGGTTTATTTATTAAGTTACATAGATGTATTATGTTTATTCGAATGCGTTCAGCATCTCTCGATCCTGGATTCATGCATCATTTCCAGATTTCTCTTGTTGGCTGAAAGAGTCCATTTGCAATGCTCTCTGTACTCGTGTTTCTGATGTTGACTGCGTCAGTGTGCTGCCGGTGTCCTCGACCGGATCAAATTTCTATGGAGTTTTGCGCCTTCCTGTACGAGCATAGCAACCCTGACCCAAATTTCGGGTGCGGTGGCGAGTATCTAAAAGTCAAAGAAGAAAATACGCATTTGGCGCCGGCTGGCTGGAACGACAGGATTTCATCTGTGGCCACGGCTATAGGCTGCCAAGTAACATTGTACAAGGACCAAGACTAGAGTGGGAAGCGCCTCACTTTCGACAAGTCCCCGAACAGAATCAAGGACATAGATCCGTCCATGAACGACGCCGCCAGCTCGTGGGTCTGCTGGTGTCCGGATAGGGACGCATGCATCCCGTCTGACGCATGGGTGACCGTGGCAGATTTGAGTGCGGAATCCGCCGACATCGAATATAAGCTTATTCAGAAAATGGGGATCGAAGTGGGAGTCACAAAAACAGAGGGAGGATCCTGGCGTATGGGAGCAGAAATCGAACTCACATTCGAGTTCTTGTTCAAGTTCTCCTCCTCTACCGAGTACAATTGGAAGGACGAACACTCCCGGGTCTACACTAAGGTCACCGAGTCACAAGTTGCCGTGATCGTCCCTAAAGGACAGCGTGTCTTGATTCAGCAGATTCAGGGAAGTTGTGAAGGCAGCCGCCTTTTCACCGAGAAGTTTCGAACTGTCAAAGCTGATGAGATGTGGAAGATACTGGAGGGGCAAACTGAGGGAAATGAACTCTCATTCATGGGGAAAGTGTGAACAGCAATCATGAACCACATAACGGTTCCGTTAATGGAATACGTCAGCCTTTTTCATGAAATTTATCGATCCTAATCGACCAAAACTCAGTGGAGAGAATATTAAAGTTCATTTTATGCCCAAACCTATTAAATGCAATTTATTTATCACGGATGAGAATGTGAGACATCCACTACGAGTTAACAAGGTGGAGAATTCCGATCGGGATATCCTGGTTAGACACATCCTGGTTCCTGGTTTCACAGTAAACTACAGTCGTGATCGCGATGATAGGTATTTACTGGTTGTTTGAAGTTCAACATTGCTCCTAAATAAGCTCAATCCACACGCCCTTTCAAAAAAGTATATTATGCCCAGAAAGGAATTTCTTAATTCCCTCACGTACGATCTCCTTCTCAGTACTTCTTAAAACTTTCTCCCCAAAAAAGCATTCTCCGAACCTCATTGTGAACTTCGATTTTAACAGAATACGTTCTGTATCTTTATCCAGCTCGGTTCCTTCTAAATTTTAGCTGCAAATCGGGGAACACTTCTTTTCGGACTGTTTTCCTCCTTAGTCCTTCCAAGGCTCTCCCAGTCTATCTGATTGTCCTATGGAACACTAGGCAAGCCACAGCCTGAGAAATGCGCCACATTGAATCCCGTCACATCTTGATAACATGAGATAGCTTTACCAATATGACAAAATGAACCTACGTGTCAAGGCTAAAAGGACGTCTGATACGTTGTGCAATCAGTACTTAATCTCAGGAATGTCCCCCTCAGTGTCACGCAAGTCATTCTCTTCTTGTCACACCTCTGGATTTGCAATTGGCGCGTATCGCTTGGTACATTCCAAATGCCTCCTTCCAATATCCTCCATTTTCAGACAGTCAGAAGGCTCATCCAATAGTATCAGCTTTCCTTTGCTTATTCTGAAGAATTGCATGGCCCCGTTTGCACTTGGATCAAATTAAAGACTTAGGCCTTAATGCAGAACCTTCATTTTGCGAGATGAAGAGGTCCTTAGGTAAGGAGCTCATTTTCCCCCCTGGGAGTCCATGTATTTTTAGGGGAACGTTATGCAAAGGAAGATTCAGCTTTCGGGCCTACGATTTCGAAGCCGAAAGCCAGTAGCAGACGGGTTTCACATCGATTACGATTATTCCCTATTAGGGAATGAACCAATATGGGAATTATCTTTCGTGGAAGAGCCCGTGAATCGATGGCGTCCAGTTTTTTCAAAGAAAAGCGGAATTCCTCCTCATCACTGATAAACCTCTTACCAGCCTCGAAATCATGTGTTCCGTTACCAGGAAAATTCTCCGCTATAAATAGATTAGACGCAACTTCATGGAAGAACTGCACCGCATGCACATTTTCTCATCCGGGAGACCACCGGATGAAAACGCGGTCGCAGTTATGTGAAGATTCAGTCCTTCGAATCCATTCCCACCTCGTCTCCTCCTTTACACGAAACGCAATGGATGAGACGATCGTTCTCTGCCTTCTCTCTCTCCTTCTTTCCCTCGTTCCCCCGACTTCGGGGCAGATCCCGTGCCCCGATCCCGAGGACATTTCCCCTTGCACATGCTCCTACGACGAAGAAAACGGTCAAGTCAGCGCCGACTGTTCCTTGGCGAATGTGAGCGAAATCTACTCTGCATTCAATGACGTCGTCTGGTTCACGAATCTCTGGCGAGTGATGCTGTTTTCATTTTTCAGGAATTTTTCCCAACAGAAGTAAATTGGGTTCTATTCCCTGAGACACTCTTGCTATATCGCTTTCGTTAGGAGATGTCATTTAACTTTCAAGTAAGAGGGCGTAGATTACCTTTCAATATATTAAGCATATGTTACGGACACCTGCCATGTGGGAATCATATGTTCTGTCCATGTTGTCCGAAAAGTATAGAAATTTCCTGTTTAAATTCAGGTTCTGAAGGCATTTCACACGGTTTCATTCTTTCCTCAATTCCCTGGCATGCAAAGCGCATGGAGTACACAATGTCACGTTAGGGTGGTTCATATTCTCTGCATCTTCGGTAATTGCAATGGAACATGCAGGTGTGTAGTTTGCTTCATTTGATTGCATTTATTTGTCATTATAACGTACAGCTGCGCCATCTATGAAGCCAAAATGTATTTTAGAATGAAAAATGAGATATTTATTGATTCGAAGCAAAACTTCAATTTATCCTCCATTCTGATCGATGGTGACCTGAAAACGGATGCACCAATGTCCAATGGCACGGTGTAACAAGAGGGGCAAGATTTGACTCTCTTTAATCCTGAATGCTCCGGTTTTCGTTCCGGTAGACTTCTTCATGCTTTGATCCCAGTGGAAAGTATTCTACATGATTTACATCAGGACTGTTGGGTGGTCACAAAGTTTGAATTCGTTGAAGTCCGTCATATGGTATTCCAGGAATGGCGCAGTTGCTCTTGATGCGCACGATGGCGAACCACCTTCCCAGTACACGAAGTTTCCACTTGATATCTTGGGAATGTCAGGCGAAAGAACATCTGAGAGCAGTGTTTGGGAGTAATGTTTGGAATCCCACCTTTGCTCTTGTCTCATAAAAATTGATTCTTGTCCGTCTATGTTAGGAGACTTCCATGGACACCATTACTTTCTTGCTGGAATTACCACATTCCTGGATTGTCACGTTTCTTGATATTTTCAACTCTATCATGAACATGAGATTTTTGTCTATTGACTGGTGAAACAACATTAAAGATTTCATCATCGGTGAACCCGATATGTCGTACATCAGGTTCATTTGGAAACCTCTGCAACAGGTCTCAACTTCCGTCAACTTTTCTGATTTTTCTGATTTTTCTCTTTTTACAGTGTTTGTCCAACTTATATTTTCTGCCCCGATCACTTCAGGTCCTCTTTGATAATTATTTGGACAAATTAGACCAATTAGACCTTCGTAGAATATCTGTTTCTCTTGTTCGTTGAATCAATGAGCAAAATGTAATGTTAGTCTCGGTGAAGGAGTTCCGGATACATCCTCTGATTCTGCCCGAAATGCCAGTCCTCTTGTTGCTTACCATGCTAGCCATGAAACTGCTTTATTTGGTGGGTTATTCTTCTCTCCTTTCTCCTTGCAGGGAATTCAATACATGGGGTAACGTTGCAATAACTGAGCTCTCGGGGGGCATCTTCGGCAACGTTTCCTTCCAGCACGTCTTCATCATGTACTCTGAGAACTTGGTCACCATTGATCCTTCGTTCCTGCTCGCAATGAAGGATACACTTGTAACGGTTTCGTTCACGTCGGGCCGCCTGGAGGACTTTCCCTGGGACGTCGTGCCGCAGTTGGTCGTAATCGAGCAAATCAGTCTCGACGGCAACGCCGTGACGACGGTGCCGGAGCTGCAGAGCTCCACGCTTCAGTCTCTCTGGCTTAGGGATAATCGCATTACCACTCTTCAGGAGAAATGGATTCTGCCTATTTTCTCTTCTCTGGCCTTGGGTGAGTCCACCTGCTCGCAATTACCGTCTGACTCCGAATAGCCTTGGCTGCAACATTTAATGTCACTGATTATTGCTAACTTGAAAATGGCATTTCAGTTTTGCTTACTTTTTCATATTGGCCATTCCATGCCAACTGACAGATGACTGATGATGCTCGACTAGATCAGAAAAAAATGGAAAATTTTTATAAGTTAACAGGTCCTACATGAAACTCCAAAATCCAACATTTATTTTTTTTTTTCCCCATTGGTAAAGGAGGTATGAAATTAGAAAATATCGATTTTCAGGCACGTGTGACCCCTGGAGCGAATTTCGTAACTCTCAAATTACGCCATCTAGAAATAAAATTATGGCTCATATGAAAATTATGAAATAGTAGAATCCAACCATTACCACGAAAATAAGGGTCAAATGAAGCATAAATTACACGTGTTTTTCAAAGTGAACTAATTTTTTAGAATTTCACATCCCCATTATCTTTCGTGGGAGTCAACATTACAAGACTAAAATTGCAGTGCTAAGAGTCCATTTCTGGTTCAGGTTTATAAGTATTATTTGGTTCTTCTTATTCGCACATGCTGAAAATAAAAGTCGAATATCCCTTTTTCTGCTTTTAGTGAACGTTGACCTCATATTTTACGATATGAGGATCCCGTTAAAAAAATACTTCCCACACATCATATGAAAGGGAATTCCACGATCCATTTGAAGACATGAGTTTCGTCCTGTTACAGTCACGAATCGAAATGTTATTACATTTCTTATGTTGGTCGGTCGTGCCCTTGGCTCTTTTCAATATGACCTCTCATGAAAGCGTGTTCTACTGCTTCATTTCCATTATATTAATTACTAGCGAGTTTGTTTGCCCTTCGGGCAAACAAACTCGCTATGGACGCGCTTTTGGCGCTCTGCGATCTAAGGCATCTGTTTCCGATGCTCACACCTAGAAATACGGTCAAACTCCTTTGCTCATGGGTTCAATTCTCGCACCTTTAAAGTAAAGCCTATTGAATCGCAATGCCTACGGCGAATTTTTTCCGACCCGTTTCACTGGAGAAAATGGTGGCTTACTAATGCATGTAGAGCATTCGTTTTCGAAGCTTCCCCTATTGACGCATTTAAACCCCTTGGTTGATGGGTTTGGCAATTCACGAGCCTTCAGCGCTCGACCTTTAAAAATAAATTTCTGTTAGAAAATGTTCTTAGAGACGTCATATGACTTCCAGCATGAGGATCACCTAGTGAAAATTCAGTGCGTCGTTTAGTGGTTCTATATTGAATTTACTTCCTGCCTGGGATCGTCACACTCTTCCTTGCATCTAAACCACAAAACCATATATATCTACGTTCGGGGACAAAAACTCTAAATAAGTGCCTACTTCCAACTCTTCCTAAGGCTACATGCAGTTGTCCGTGAGAAAATACGTCATTCATGAATGCAGTTTATGGCTATTGGCGTTCCCGTTCCGTTGAAGCGTGAGCATAGAAATGATGGAAAATCTTCCTTGCCGTTTCCCTGCTACAAAAATATATGAAATCAATTCGCATCCACAAGCATACCGGTACGCATCTACCTAACCTATGACATAGGCGTAGGACAAAGGCCTCGCACCGCATGCTTAGGCAACAGGTTCAGATAGGCCGAAAGGTTCCTCGATGTCAATGAGTCAAGATCGATGTAGGTCTGAGCATCCGTCCAAGGGTTCGATATAAGCTTGTTGAATCATTCCCTTCGGGGAAAGTACCTCCAATGTCGAACTGTATCTGTAGAATATGCAAGCCAACAGCTATTTATTTACCATCCCGTTTCTTTTGAGGAGGAGTGTATATGAGAGTAGTATTGGCCCAAGCGTCCATCCATGGGGTAGGCCTAGGCCTGCGAAATTAGTCCCCCTTAAAATTTGTCCCCAGGGCGTGTACACCCCCCCCCCCCACCCATCCGAAGTCTAAATTCCTCTGGAGTGAACAACGTAGCAATAACACACACTCCCTTCAATGACTGAAGGAACATGTTCATGAGAATGGTGTAGGCCTACACCTCCATCTGGGATGGCTAGGCAGCAGACACATCAGCTCATTCTTCTAAGCTTCAAGGCGATAATTCCACTTCTACTATAGGGAACTTTATCGTTAATCATATATTCTGGCAAAGGGACTCTATGGGAGTCCCTTTTTAAAACTCTTCTAATGGTTCCATACAGTTGTCTAATAAAAAACGAGTCATTCCTTAAATGCACCCATAGCTATACCTTCCCATTTCGTTGATGCGTGCATAGCATTGGAATGAGCGTCCATAAGTGGATTGAACATAACCACCTTATATCGAAATGTCAATGGAACATCTTCCGTTGCCCCGCCAGAAAAAGAAATAAAACCCATTCGCATCTGCAAGCGTACCGGTACGCGTCAACTCGTGTCCTTCTCTTCACCAATGACCCAACGGCATAGGTCGAAGGCCTAGCGCGTCAGGCTAAGGCAGAAGGAATCTCGGTCAAATGGGCCGAGAAGTTCCTCGATGCGTATGGATTGCACGAGATTGGTGTAGGCCTCTGCGCCTGTCCAAGGAAAAGTAGAATTTTTTCTTTACTCAGCTATCCATTAGGTACTTCTTTGCCAAGATTAAAATTTTTAGCGCTCTCTGTTTTGCTGGATGAGAATATTCAGCTTTCCATGTTTATCAGTTTAACTGATGCAAAAAAATTATTTGAAGACATCTCCCTTTGAAATTTGTGCCCCAGGGCATTTACTTCCAAATTCTGAATTTTTCTGCAGCATCCCAGTAGGTAATGTACCAAGATTCAAATTCCCACACTAGCTCAATAAGCCAATTACTCAAGCAAAAATAATGTTATGGAGGGGGAATGAGTAACGGGATATGGGAGGCAAAATAAGCCAAATGAAAGCCATGGAATGGCCGGGAATTGAACCCGTACCTCCTGATTGCTGGCCAGATGTGCTACCACTACACCGCCGAACCCAGGACATCCGATCTGCCTTCTGACTCTCATCCTCGTACGTCACACTATATATAATAATAAAAAAACCTTTCTCCCTAAAATGTGTATCCCCCGGGTATGTACCTCCGAAGTCGGATTTTTTCTGAACTCTGAATCCCAAAATGTACATATGTACCAAGTTTAAGATTTCCAACCTTTCTAGAACATGGTTAGAATTAGCGTCAGTCAATCATTCAGTGAAGATCGTCAATATAAATTAGATTGTATAGCTTTCTACTGATGGTATTTATTTTCCATGAAATAATGTTGCAAGGGGGATTTATTCCGCCTTGACTGCAAGTCAAGGCGGAATAAACCCCCCTTGCAACATTATTTGATCACAATTGCTTCACATAATTTTATGCATTTCGGCTTTTGTGTTCATCTGATACTACCTTCATTGGCTGTAAAGATTTGGTTACCATACGGCGTTGAAGGTTTGCACGGGCTGACAGCCTCGTGAGGGTGCCACCAACCCCATCATGTCGTGTGGAGGGCCTTAAAAGTGGACTTTTAACGTTAACTTTAGGCCGAAAACAAGAGAAAGATAATTTAGCACGATCGGTTAATCGGAAGCAAAAGAAAGGGTCCTGGCCTCACTCCACAAACAGGACAAGCCGTCTAAGGAGACGACTGACGACAAATAATAAAACGGTGTTCAAACAACAAGGACAACAAGTATTTTATTCAAGTTAAATTATGAGAAGAAAATAAATATCACAGATGTTAATGGAGGTATTGCGGAGGTGTTGAGGAGGAATTGACTAGTGAAAGTCTTTGGCAAGACGGAAAAGCACGGCGTCAGGCGTCAGGCGTCAGACGAGAGATCGCAGGCACGGCGTCAAACGGCAGAGGAGAAATCGCAGGCACGACGACAGACGACCGACAAAAAAGACTGCCAGGGACGGACTCGCCGGACGGACGACACAGGACGAAAAACGCACACCCGACCTCGCAGCCGGAAGACGTAAGACGGCGTGGACGGAGGGCGGAGGTCACACCCCAAAAAATGCAATGGAGGGCTACGCGGGCCCAACCCTGACATGGGCAGAACCCATTCAGGGCCGCGAACAAAACAAGGTCCCGCGGGAGCCACAAGGCTCTACTAAGCTTATATTCGAATTTTATTTATTTTTACTCATACGACTATCACGTGGTCCCTACCAAGCGATGTTGTAAATAAATTCCATGAAACATCTTAATGAAAACGTTGCCAATCGAGGCCAAGACTTCTGACTTTTTTTGCTTCATTTCGTACTGGAAGGCAGCTCCATTAGTGAAGTAGTGCAGCTTCTTGATATATGGGTGGCTTCGTTTGAAACGGCTGTGGAACGCCTTCTGGAATATGCACTGCAACATCATGTTGCTAACGGTCTGGAATGGTAGCATAGCTGTTCACACTAAGATCTGCTGATTTCGATCGATGATAGACTACAATAGGGCGAACTGTAGCTTGGTTGTTGTTCCAATGAAAGGAATGTTCTGCATCTTGGACGGCAAATCTATAAATTCCCTTGAAAGCCATTATCACGAAGTCGTATGTCATATGCCCTTCAGTGAAACCGAATAGTGGATTCTGGGATGGTAACAGGATATTGCTGATTGGAGATATGTAACATTGGAAAGTTAAGTCTGCAAAATTGGCAGAAACTTTTGTTTCGTGAACCTCGTCCAGTAGTTAGGCCTTTGAAAGAAGTATCAGATTAAAGCAATTGCAAAGTGGATCTAAATAAATGAAAACATATTAATACAAGTTAGGGTGCAATAAGTTGCCCTGCAAGTTTATTTTATGGAAAATGAATACCATGATCACAAAGCAATATAACAAATAATATAAGATAAATTATTCTGCAGAATCAGTTTCATTTCTTTTATTATAAGACCATATTGAACAAAGCCAAGGCAACAACTGACCAACATTAGAAACAATATAACATTTCGATAAGTAACTGTAACAGAACGAAACCTATAACGTCAAAGGGATATTGGGATGCCCTTTCATATGAAATGCACGTATGAAACGTACTTTTTTATCTGAATCCCTACATTGTAAAAATTAAGATCAAATTTCGCTAAAATCACAAAAAATGAGTTACTCGGATTTCGTTTTCGACTTGTGGGAATCAAAAGAACCAAATAATCGTTAGATCATGAACCTGGACCGGAGGTGGACTCTCATCCCTATCAACGAAGGTTGATAGGGAACTGGCAGCTCTTCTTGCTGACAAGGCGCCGCGCCCAAAGCCTGGGTCGTCCGCGCATGCGCATTGTGGTCCAGAACCTGAAGGGCTCATGGGTACTCATGCTCCGTGACCAAATGTTATATCCAAAATTTGCAATAAAAAAGCCAATTTTGGTGCAAAATCTCCGAAAAAACCAATTCAGTTTGTTTCTCGTCTATATCTACCAGCTTGCCACTTTTCGCATGATCAGGGCAATATCTTTTTAGTTATCGTCGGACAACCAGTGTGACACACGGACACATGGACGGACAGGGCGGGACCATAAGTGGTCTCTTTCCTTTCAGAAAAGGAAGCCCGCTAAAAAAAAAGCCATATATTGGGTTCGAACGAAGAGCAATTGTTATTCACTTCGTTAGATACTAAATGATTACGAATTAGTTTCGAACTCTTTTTAAGATATTTCCCGTGAGTAAATTATCTTTAAAAAATGTTAAATAGCCAATGTAAGCGAATTCTAATGCAAAATGAAGGTCAAAGCCTGTCTTTCAGATCAACGTCTTTCATTTCCCAACAGGTGGAAATCCCTTCTCAGAATTTTCTTCTGGATTTTTTGCTGACTTCGGACAATTTGGGTCTTTCTACTGCCAAGAGTGCAACTTCGGACCGACTCTTAATTCCGGGAAGCTAGAATTTAATACCCGGCAATTGTGGGAGCTGCATCTTGAGGGAAACCATATCACGACCATCGAAGCTGGAGCCATCTCGGGTATGTTGAAGTTTGACCCTTCAAGCGCTGCATTTTTGACTCGACCTCCTAAGTGATGCACGTACGGTGTACGTGAAAACGGCTTGAAGGGTTAAAATGGCATTTCGTTTCTGGCTGGTACAGGCCTGGCGGCGATATCCAGAAAATTTTTGGAAATTTTTGGAAACTTGGCTATCATAAATCCCATCATCTGTGCCGAAAATGAAGTTTCTAGGCCCTTCCGTAATGGACATAGGGCCTTTTGAAATAGGGAAGTAACTTCATGGACACCCTGTATATACATATCAGTGAATGTGTTAAATGGTACTTCTTGCACCAGAACATTTTTGTGGAACGGTAATCCATTAGTCGCAACATTAAGGCAAGCATCGTATAGAAAAGAACTTCATGCCTGATTGGAAACCTCCCGCTGGGACGTTCAGGAAAATTCTATGAAGGTCACGATACCGTATGGCGTCATTGAACTGCAAAGGGTTAAGTAATCATTTTCTGCTTTAACGCTTGGCTATCTCAGGCTACACCGCTGAAACGAAATTAAATCTGGACGAAAATTCGATCACTGAGGTGAAGGAGGAGGTCTTCCGTCCGATCCTGGAAGTCCTTTCATCGGGGGACGGTATCGTGTCTCTTTTGGGTGAGTTCGGCCGTTTTCCGTCACCGATTGAGAAATACTTAGGCAGTAAAAGTGCTTGCGTAGTGATGGGACTGGATGAATAATGAAATGCACAAGGATTGAGCGAAATGTTTTCATTACATCAGGCATCCTCCTGATGCGGTCGTCATCGTGTTTCTTCGCCCGAATGAAAGGGCTTGTGATCTTTACGTAAAAAAAAATAGGATGATGTTCCTCTTCTTTAAAACATATTTCGAGAAGGTGAATACCATAATAAATGAATATAGAAAATACATTTACAGCAGGGGTTCTTAACCTTTTTGCACCTACGGACCCCCCAGATCCTCAAGTATTACCCATGGACCCCCACCCCCGGTTATCAGAAACTTTGTAACACCTAGATTTGTTATTATACATTATGTTTTTTTTTTCAGGAGTTTCCATCAATTACATATTTAATTTTCCATGTACCCTCCACGGACCCCCTGGACCTACCCCATGGACCCCAGGTTAAGAACCCCTGATTTAGAGGGACTTTCTGGTCGCATTGTGAGCTCCATACAATACATATTAAAGCCAATTATATTCTGTCTAGTTTGGGGAAGAAAGGACTTCATATGAAATGGATTCATGATCTCCCTTATTTGGTAAAAACCAAATAATTTGAAAAATCTCCTTAGAGCTTCGCTTAATGAAAGCAAGGTATATATATGTATCGTACGATTACCTACGGAATTCTATTAGAATTAGTATTAGTATTAGTGTTATTGATTTTACAAAGCACAGTAATAATATCATTCATCTGGCTTTAATGAAATGCAGATAATCCGATCCAGTGCGTTTGCAGTATGGCGTGGCTGGTACTAAATCAAACACTCCTTGAGCATGTCGTCGGAAACTGCGAGAATGGTCCTTCCTTTCAAGAATTGGATCCGTTTCACTTCGAGGAATCCTGCATGAAGATGAATCCTCCGATGCCGGGTGGTCATTCCACCTGGGTGTCATCCCACCTGGGTGTCATCCCATTCCCACGCCGAGGGAGGCCTGCGGTCGATCGCGAGTAAATGATTGGCCACGTCCGACTCGCGTCGTTCGGGAAGTGCATTTCGTGTCGTTTTTACGGATCGTTCGTAGGGGCAACCGCTGTGACAATAGGGTGAGTCTTCAGTTCTTAATAATAAAAAAGAGCAATTGTAGGCCGTGGGAAAATCAATGAATTACTCACCAACACATAGGTAGCTTCAGGCTCCAACGCACATGTGTCGGAAAAAGATTCAGTCAAGAAAAATCGAAGGATTTCTTCTGCTGGCATGCCCGCAGCTTTCGACCGGTCGTCACTGTGCATGCCTAATCTGACGACGAATTATTCTCCATTTGCCTAGGAAATGCTTGAGGACGATTTCTTTGGTTTCTCATGAGTTTCCAAAGAGTTTCTTTGGATAAACTGGCAAGTAGTTCTTGCGGGAACTGAATTTAGAAATTTAAAACCTGATTCCTGGCCTCATTTCTAGCCAATCGCCCACTTTCATCCTCAAACTGACACTATTGATATGAAAACAAGGAACAAGTCAATTGAGAATTTCACGGACTCCTTATATGGGAGAAGCGTTGCTCCGTCTCTCGATAACTTCCACCTGGATGGCTTCAGAAGACAGGAAGTGCATTACCCGAGAGAGAAATCGATCGCAAAGGAATGGTGCAATAGCTCACTGGCTTTTTTACAATGTATGGTACGCTCATTTGAGAAAATTCGCGTATGTAAGGGCGAAAGAAAAGGAACTCAATTCGGTTCTGCAAGGTCACATCATTGCTTCTCCAAGGAGGACAGTTTACTAGGACATCCGAATTGATTTAGTGCGATTATTGGATTGTCGATCATATATTTAAAAAAATGGGGGCTCCTGTACTATCACCTCTCCCTTCTGGAACTTCGGGCAAATTCAGGGTCACTGGAGCAAATTCAGAAAAAGAGCGGGTATCCGGAGAATCCCTAGACTCATCATCGACGCGATGGGGAACATTCCAATCGGGAAACCATGAGTAAAATGCGAATAGCATGTGCAGAGCTCCTAACGAATTAGTCTGCGGTTTCGCGAGCGAAGACGATGAATGCCGACGATGACTGAGCTGATCGACGCGTGCAGCGAGGACGCCACTGTCACCGTCAGCAAGGATGTCTCCATACTATAATTCAGAATGTTTATGTGTGTCTGTATGTGTCCTTTATGCACGGCCACGCCTCTGATCCCAGTCCGACCAAACCTTGCATGACTTTCTCAATTGATCCAGTGATGTTCATAGGCTAGGTGGCGTTTCAAAATTCGGACCCTCCAGGGCAGGGCCATCCCTAGATCAAATGGCACCCCAGGCGAGGAACGTCTTCCCCCCCCCCCCCCCCACCGCCTCAGGCGGTTGCCTCGGTCGCCTGCCCCTAAATTCGGCCCTGCCTTGGGGTACCTTATTTAGTGCAAACGAATATGGACCGCATACAATATACACCTGTGCAACGCTGGGTACCTCTGCAAGTATTGTATGAAGGGAAACTGGGAAGGCAAACCGCAAATTTGGATTTGGGTGCAAGGGAGTAGCATGAAGGTGGGAAGCAGTGCCAACAAAAATCACGTTCAAGAATAGCATTTTGCCTCGGGAATTACTTGAGAACAGGAAATGAGCGACGGTTGTACCAGGCCTTCACTTTATACAATTTTCGGAAGTTTCCGATACTGATTCCACTGGTGGGAAAGGCTATGATGTTACGGTAACGGTGGTTAAAGGGAAAATGAACTTATTTATTTCCGAGGCTCTATGAATTCAGTCTCAAATATGAGGAATATCATTTAAGAATTGGCGACATCGATTATTTTCCGCTGTGAGACATGACCAAACACAAATTTAAGTATAATACTAAGTACTGATGTGAAGGACGACTCAAAGGAAAGAAAGAAGGGTACTTTTGTGAACCGTGCGATAAGTGAGAAATACACCGCCATCTGGTGGGCTAGAAAAGAACTTCAAGATGCTGGCAAACCAGCCCATAGCGATGAACGGACCAATGTCTTTCGGCAATTATGCACCATTAATAGCGAACCGACTTGAAGCCTTAATTGGCGCTACCCACATAACCAAAAAGCTTGGCCCAACAATGGCCCCTGTATGGCAAGCTCGGCAAATCATCAGCATTGGCAGACATGTTTGGCCCATCCCTGGCTCTAGCTTCGCTAGCCATTTTCGGCACTTCACTGGTAGAGGACATAGGCCCTTTCTTGGCTCTAGCCAGGTTTCCCATTCTTGGCATTACATTGGCAAAAGGAACAGGCCCATTCATGGGATTAGTCTGGTGTCACATTATTGCCACATCATTGGCAAAAGACACAGGCCCAATTAAGGCTCCAGGTTGGCTTGCAATTAAATTCGGCATATATCGGTTGCACGCAAAACTGCTTTACCAATATTGCCAATTTTGGCGAAGAGTTGTTTCCCTAATATTGCCCTGCCATCATTGATTCCATATCAAACGGATGGCACGATCCAATGCGCCTCAATTGCACTTTAATATATCCGAGAATTGAAGTTCTCATGTAGACCACTAGATGGGAGCATGGTTCTCGCTTTTGCAGACAGTACCAAAAGTACCCTTCCACCCTTCTCTAGATTCGTCCTTCACAGCAGTACATAATAATCAAGGCAACAAGGCAATCAGTCGAAGCTGTCATTTCTTCATTTATGATCTCTATAAATGAGATAGATTCATGGAGTTCAGTAATTAATCATGCTAATTCTGCTCATAAGAACCGCTGCCTGTATTGTTATATTCTCATCATTCTGGAGACCCAGAACTTTGAAACGACGTTCTAGTAACTGCGCACTCCAACCATCGTCTCCCTCGTCCAGAAAATGGGACGGGATGAATGGTTTCAGTTCATTTATACTACTTAGAACAGGAGAGTGGAGCATTACCTCTGGAGTACCAATATTGGAACTCTTGAGAGATGACTTAGCTCAGCTCAAATACTATAACAAGTATATTGAGTACCATTAATAAAGAAAGGAAATGGGCAATATCGGGAACATATATATACTAGCGAGTTTGTTCTGGCAAACAAACTCACTGTGGTCGAGCCTTCGGCTCTCCATTACCTTGGATAGCGATTAATTCATTTATTCTTTGCGAAATGGCAAACACTTATTTAAAGTACGTCCCATTGGAATACGTGACATATGGGGACGAAAGTCAACATTTTGATCAAAGTCATTACTTCTATGACTTCCAGAGCCTAACTTGAAATCTTTTCATGTGTCCCTTTTTGTAAGGGTGGAGAATACATTATGCAATAATTTTACCTCCTATAATCTACGCTCATGAGGCCTATGNAGGGAAGAGAGAAAAAAAAAAGGCACGGTATGGTTAGGAATTGAACCCTGGCCTCACGATTACCGGTCCGATGTGCTACCACTACACCACCCAAACCGTGACATGCAATGGTTTCTTTCGATGATATCCTTATCCATCACGATATATATTTAAAAAAAACTTCTCCCCCAAAAATGTGTACCCCCAGGTCATGTACCTCCAAAGTTGGAGTTTTTCTGAACTCTGCACCCCAAAAGGTACATGTGTACGAAGTTTCAGATTTCTAAACTTTCTGGAACATGGTTAGAATTGGCGTCAGTCAGTCAGCCAGCCACGATCGTCTATATATATTATATATATATATATATTTGGAAAGCAGGAAATTATTACATATTTATAATAATAATTGACTCAGGGAATCATTAACTGCTGAAGCTAAGCTTGTCATTAGAGCAGTGCACGGGATTAGGGAAGAGGAGAATCCCAGCTCCACAAGTACTATACCTTCTCTATCCTTAATGAAAGAGAGCTCCTCTAAACATCTATTCCTCCTCCCGAGGTCCTGGCACGGGAGGAGGAACTGTTGAGTCATCTTGAATGCTGGTGAGGATGAGTACGTGTGTACTCGTCGAAGTAACCTTGAGTAAAAAGGTATGGAAAGGAATGGGAGAAATACAGTGCTTTTATTCTCTTCAAAAGTAAGAATGGGCTCGTTAAATACGCATGAATATTAGGGGGAAATTAACATCAATTTTACGTAAAATTAACGTTAATTTTATATCACCGTTTACGTATTACAGAGGTGACATTTCTGCAAACATTTGACATTATCTTGATGATGGTTTGCGTAAAATATATATAAAATGGTAAAAAAATGTACACTCAATTTACGTAAAATTAACATAAACATGCTGCGTGGGCAGGGATTTTAAGCGTCCATGATGATATACGTTCATCAAAGGTTGTATTGTTTTCCCGTATCGCAGTCGCATTGGTAAATGTGAACAAAATTTAAAGTATAATCTATGGGACCGGGAACAAGCAGTAAAAATAAAAGGTGGTCTGCGAATCATGACTGTCCTGTTTGCTGCATGTTTCCTATCTTCTTTTATTGAGCTTATGTATGATGCTAGCCGTTGAGTTTCTCAGACTGGGACTCCCCTACATTTCGGTTGGTTCATTTCCCGTGGTTGTGGTCTCCCGTGTAGCCGCCGACACTGAGAAGGTGTGTTTTATATTGCAGTAACACTCTCGCTAGGGTTGGAGGGTGCGCTTCACCTAGTATGCTTCTTTCAAACTATAACCCTATGTATTTGTTTCACTCTATGGGCACTATGATCCATTGACGTGCTGAGGAATCACGTTAAATGATATGTGAAATGATCTTGTACAAATGACATCAGCGCACGCAGCGTTGCATTGCCGTTTCAGCGCCGGGATTTTACTGAATTCTTTCTATTCACCTTTGATGACACAATGCAACATTCACAGGGTCGGGTGCCAAGGATAACCACGGGTAAAATGAGACTTGCGGGCTTTATTTAAGATAAAATACCCCAAATACCATATGAACGCTCTCGAGGACGTGCAAATTGAGTTCCATTGGGAACGTCCGATGTACATGGATAAGCACCTTTTGTGCGCAAAGTTAAGGTGTCGTTTCATCACAAAACATACGGCATTTGAAGGACATTGGTTGAACTTTATATATGTTTTCCTCAAGCATGTCTATGCTATCCATCTGACAATGGCTTGAAGAAAAGGTTCGGAAAACCGACGCTAGATGCCGCCAAAGTAGTCGCACATTGCGGCATCACACATTGCCGATTCCTGATACTGCTGCAATAGTCCCCAATACCTTCCATACGCTAGCCGATCTTTCCCCTCATAAACCAGAGGGGAAGATACGTTTTTTCTTCAAGAAATCGGTCTTAAGAGGCAACCCAGTTCAAGGAGCCTTCAGAAAACTCTGGTTCGAAAGATAGAGGGAGGATGGTTCAATTTGGAAGGTCACTTCATGCGGGACGGGAGAAGAGTGAATCGGAAAAGATGAAAATGATTATCATCGACCCTGTGAGAAGTGGCTTCAGTGCAGGGAGTATCTAGCTACTTTGAGTATGAGTTAGCGGCGGATATGATGAAGATTTATGTAGAAAGACAGTTACCACAAGCTTCTCCACATGACTATTCCGGCTCTTTGGCTCCATCATCTTCACTGACCCCCTGCTACGGGAGCAGGGCTTTACTTAGACTGGTTGCAATGTAAGTGAAGAAAATAACGTATCCAATACGTTAATCGCATATTACATGAAGCCTGAAAAAGGACGTACATAGAACCCTTTTTTTTAAATATCCAATTCGCGTCTTATATGAGTTCACGTACTTCAAGGAACGACTGAATTGAATTGTTTTTGATGTCTCTAAATTTCGGATATTAATACCACGTTCCCATGGACTTTCACGGAATGCTGACAGTACCTTAAATGAAATGATCCTTGAGCACGTTCGGGTGCTACTTGGGTGGTAGTCTCAGAAGATCGTGGTGTCTTCTTCCACAACAACAGAGCATTCATTTTCCTCCGGTTCGCAGCAGGTTTACCTGCCGCTAGTACTAGTATTATATATGGATGAGTAATTTAATGAACTAAAGAGAAGCATAGGAAATGTGAGGTCAAGCCAGGCATAATATATGGAGAGCCTTTTCTCAGTATCTGCCCATTAAAAATACGTTACTTCTGCATCTCCGAGGTGGCGTTAAGAAGCGGTTTGAGTCACACATAGAGACAAACCGTCTCAGACGTTCCCTACCTTTCATTTTAGCAAGGGCTTATTCTTAACCGCACGTTTCTCTAGCACGATATGAGAGATAAGTGATGTCGCACGGAAGGCACGGTTCCTTCTTTCTGACTCCGTGCAGTGACTTACAGTGCTTCCGTGTACGCTGTGGCAGCTGAAAGAGACTATGAAGTCTGCAAGTAGATTTCAAGGGCTTTGTTTCGTTTCAGTACAAAGCTCAGATGTTTCCGGGATGGAAGACGGGTACTCACCTACTCCCGCCTGTGGTGAACCTCGACTACTGGGTGGATGACGCTGTCGCTGAAGACGAAATTACGAGAAAGTTCCTCTCATGCGGTTCATTTCTGTTTCCGAACGAAAAGAGCAGCCGATGGATACGGCTCTTGGCGTTGGATTCGAGCTGAAACAGAAACGCCTCCAAGAGGGCTAGAGGAGATTTCTCCGAATGGTGTATATTTTGATGTTTCATCGAGATGCTGGAATCTTTACGATCCGGGTGATCCAGACCACGTAGGAGAACCTGAAGAGCCGCGTGGGAAAGTCAGACAGGATCAGAATATGGGGAGTGAGCACCTGAAGGAGATCGTGGGGTAAAACGAGGTAAAGCCGGAAACCCTGGACACAACGCCATTGTTCAGACAGCAGGTCAGAGAGATGGGACAGGTGATAAGGGGACTCGCTTAGCAGGAGTTCTTGTTTAACTGTAGGGGAAGCATCCCCGTTCTAACAAAGGTCTGTGGGGTAGGGTTTGACAGGGATGTGGCCGTCATGGATGATGGAAGGTCTGAGCGAGCAGGAGCTCGTCCTTCCCTGTTCAGCACCGAATTATGATTGTGTGATGTGACCATTGATGCCTTCATCGCCTCGGGAGCATCCCCGCATGCCAAAGTTCCTATCCGACAGGATTGGCTTAATTCAAATTCGATTCGATGTTGGTGGCATGTGAGCATCTCCCTCTATCACGTTCTTCTCGTGGAGCTGCGGCAGTTGTGTCCATGTCATTTCGGCTCTCCATTTGCTTGCCATGTAAGATAATTAATACGGCGCTCATTGTTTCATCTATGGGAAAATAATTCGAGTGCTACTGGACAGTTACTAGAATCAAACCGTGGCCTTACTGTCTCCTCGGCTTCGATCGAACGGCGAGGATATTCCTAGGACAGAGGGGATTATTATTGCCCCCCATAAGAAAGATGGCATTTTCAGACTCACTGAGATTGAAATAAGACATAATTTCACCATTGCAGGTCTTTCTTCATAATGCGACCCCATTCTTGTCAATAAATGCATGAATAATCGTAATTTTCCCCCCTCACACTGTTTTATTGGTAAAAAAAAAGAGGTGGACTACAACTGACAAGTTGCCTTAAAAAATCGATAGTGAAATTTTAAGAAAGACACGATCGCGGCGTTGGAGTTGCCTATATGCGGGCATTCTTTCAAGAAAGCAAAGTTGTGTTTGAGAAACTTTGAACGGAAAATAAGAACTTGGCTCGTGGACAGTTTCATGTGTCTCATTTCTGAAAACGCCACCCATCTCCTCGAAAGCCTCAGGTGGGTTGAACCGCATGGGGATGACGTCGGACTAGATGAAAGTATTTGATGTGATTTGCCCTGGTATTGTTGAAGCGATCGTAGGTCGACCGGAACGGGAAAGCATTCATATTTCGAGAGAAACTCCAGAGCATCAATGAAGGATGGCTCGCGTCCAGGGTCTCGAGGGACGAAGGAAAAGATCATTCTGGTCTGTTGCGGTCAAGGCCATTGTCCCTCCTTCTCCAGGCGGCTCGAGCGGAGTGCGAAGGATGCGGAGGATGCTGATGGAAAACGTTGTCAATACCACTTTCAACAGTCTGGTCGGCAGGGAAAGTAAAGAAGGGCACGAAAGCCCTGCGTCTCGACTGCGTCCCCGCGGATGAGCAGTCGAGTACGACCGAAACCTGGTGTATCGTGATCGATTTTGGGTGGTTGACTTTATTACCATAGTGGTCTATGCGTACGCCACTTCGAGCATGGTAGATACATCAGCGTACGCAAATCTTACTATTGATACTTGGCATGTGAGCATCGTTCTCATTAAATTACATGAATGATAATCCATTTTGTAGCTGTGATCCGATCTCTGAAACGTTGCAATCCGTTTCTTATTTTTTCAATCATCGCATGGAAACGGCATACGCATAGCCTTGTAGGCCATGCTTGTTAGGCCGCAGATGAGTGACTGCCATGACAAATGGTAACATAGAAAGAGTTCTAATGTTAGCTACGGACTGTAGATAAGTTTTTGCCACTTTAAAAAACGTAATTATTGAAGCCTAAAAATTTGGAACACAGCGCTTCACTCGATACAAATATATAAACTTAACATTTTTAGTCGTGAGGTTTATCATAAAGGACTTTTTCTTAAGTAAATTCTTGAAAATAGTCACAGAAGGGCAGCCACTACCTCGTCATTAACGCATTTCACGCGTTGAATGTCTTTCCAATTATATATTTGCATCAGAAAAAATAGCAAAGGTGTACGACTGAAACTTGGTCGGCATGTAGTTCTCCCAGTACTGATTTTAGCAAAAACGCTAATTTTTAGGTAAAACCCTTCGGCAAATGTTTTGGGCAAAAGACGCATTATCCGAAATACTTTCTAATCCAATGAAAGAGAGATCTAAATAAAGTTGAAACTTCGAGTAATAGGAGTAACTATTTGGATGGAAACATCAGTTCGTTTTCTCTCGGCACCCATTTTGAAAGGCACAAACTTTAAGACTTTGAAAAAAAGTTAAAGTATGAATCACTAACCTGGACAATGAAGCGTCGGTATATGCAGGAGTATACCTTCATGGCGAATTCATGCAGGGTGACGTTTTAAAAATATATTTCACTTCAGCCAGAGCAAATACGTAGAAACTTGAAAATGGACATGAAAGTTCCTATTGATGTGCTCATTTCCAGGAAAAATTCAATTTTCAGTTGTATACCCTTGGGGCAAACTTTTCCATGGATAAGTTTTATGTTTTTTTTTCATTCAAAGGGAAAGACAGGAATAGCTGAAAATGAGCATGAACGAGGTTAGTGATATGGTAATTTCAATAAAAATTTTCACCTTGGACATGTATGGGCACATCTTTGTGGGGGACGTTTACATAATAAATTTTGCTGCAGGGAAACGGATTTTTATATAGGACTGGGATGAACGAATTCAAGGAAAATCTTCATTTTGTCGTACATGCCCCGAGGGAATATATTTTGATTGCAAAAAAAGATCTCCGAATTTTTCACCACCATACAACAGGTTATTTGTTTAGGGGGGAGAATAAGTAAACTCAGAAGCACAATTTCGCTTAGAGAAAGTTGGTTCTTACAGTCTTGTTATAGAAGGCGCTATATTGAGGATTAACTCTAACGTGACAGTTCTGGGGCTATGAAGAATCTCTGATTCATGCTCCTAACATCAGATTAAAAATCACTTCACACAAGCAGGAGTAGCTTAAACTCACGATGAAAAATCCTAATGACTTGAGAAGTTTTACCCAATTTGTAGTTATGGGAACCGAAAAGGGACGCTTCAAATGTATTAACAAGTTGGGTTACCCGGCGTAGCGCAGGATATTTTTAGGAGTAATATTTAGGTTGGGTGGTTAGGGTGGTGTGGTAGTGATGACTCAAATGCTGACCCTCGCCAAACAGTACTTGACTTGTGACTTCTTGAAGTCAGTTGTATACTACTTGAAGTGTCTTGGCTTTGTTGAAGGGGGCCTTATAGAACTTACCAACTTCACTGTGGATGCATGTGAAATTGGTAAGAAAAGGCCAGGGCAGTTTTACTACTGTTAGTTAGCTAAGGTGAACCAATGTTTTAATTATTTTTGACAGTGATTTCTGTTGATTTTTCAGCAAGCCAATTTTGTTCATTTCTTGACAGTGATTTCTGTCAGGTTGAGTCAGCCATACTTTTTGTGCACCAAACAGATTCTGGGAACCTGTGGAACTCCAATCTCTTGTCCCCATCATCCTAGTTGGCCTGGAACACCCTTTTTGGGACCCTTAGCCGCCCACCGGAGCTGCCCCCCCCCTGACCCCGATGACATACCCCTGTGGGGAACTTCGTCCCCCACCCACCCCAAAGGTTTCATGTCAATCGGACCAAAACCCATGGACGAGGTGCTCCACAGGCCCCCCAACTTCGCCCCGGACACCGGGGTTTGGCGGCCGGACTTTTTTTTTGCACCAATCAGGTTCTAGGAACCCTTAGAACCCCAATCCGTTGTTCCTGTCTCGATAGCTGGCCTGGAACACCCTTTTTGGGACCCCGAGACCCCCCCCCGGAGCCGCCCCCACTGACCCCGACCCCCCTACATGCTCTGTGAGATAATGTACCGCTATGTCGAAACGATTAGGACAAATAACTGGACAAGACACTTCAAGTAGTATACAACTGACTTCAAGAAGTCACAAGTCAAGTACTGTTTGGCGAGGGTCAGCATTTGAGTCATCACTACCACACCACCCTATGACATGCTACTGGACAGACCCCACCCTCCTGCGAAGGTTTCAGGTCGATATCTCCAACGGTGTCCGAATGCATAGCGTCAGATGGACGGAGACAGACAGAGATCCTTGCTTATAGAGATAGATATTTTATGAAGCGAACCACGCCGAAGGCGCGTTCATAGCGAGTCTGTTTGCACGAAGGGCAAACAAATTCTGGGTTGCTATTAGGATTAGGATTTAAAAAATCCCGACTTTGGAGTTTAATGACCTTGGTCTATATGTTTTTTACTGACCCTAAGACTTGACTTGAACTGGACCTATGTTAAGACACTTGATTTCACTAAAATTTTAGGACATCATTTGTCAATCTACTTCATGTACACTGCAAAATTAATTTTGTGTTTTCAGATATCAACAGAGATATGAGCATTTTAATGCATGAACTCCATACCATGTACGGGCATGACACATCAGAGTCATTGGGTCATACCTGCGCTTCACGTATCACCAGTTATTTGTCCTAATCGTTTCGACATAGCGGTACATTATCTCACAGAGCATGTAGGGGAAGGTGGAGAAAAACAAGGCAGTTCAGGGAAATTGCATAAATTTAGTACCAAAAGTTGTCGCAGCACGTTGCGGATTGGTATGCGTATCTTTCATGTCTTACCTACGAAGAGGATTCAACTTCATCGCGAAATCAGCAAGGGTTTCCCCCCCCCCCCCCAACAATTTTAAAAGTTGTTATTGAAACACCTCGTTTTGCCCCACCCATGGGGGAAAATGGGGTGCCTCTGCAGGGAAAAACGGGCTGCTCCTCAATATAGTGTTTTATAATGTTTTTATGCATAATACATACCTATTTAAAGAGGTCACAGAACAGAAGCATCAATCAAATATTTACAAATAGGAAACTAATTATTATCCACACGTTTTCCAGTGCCTTCATTGTATGCCTATTCATAAAGTTCAGAGAACTGAGACCACAACAAAACATCCAAAAATTACAAGCAGATGCTTTCTCTCGTTTCCCCAGGTCGTCATTCTTAAATACAAAGGTCAAACAGAAGGAGTAATGAAACATCTACAATTAAACCTTTTTTTTTCCATATGTTCATTACATGCCTAATTACTAAGGCAACAGAATGGAAGCAATCATGAAACTTTTGAGGCAAAACAATCGTTGCTGTTTCAAATTAGTATGCATGTATTCATCATCGATGCAAATTTACAGATGCCATAGAAAACACACATCCATATCCTTGTCGTATTCGATGTCTGCATAACTGTCGTGAGCTGAATTCCAGTGACCCAACCTTCACTAGGTTTTGGGCGAGAGAAAGAATCTGAACACTAACATCTTGCGTCGGCCTGAGTCTCACCATTGTAATAGATATTCCAGTAACAATAGAATATAGAGCTGGTATACATCCCCGTTTTGCCTCCAAACCATTACCACGTTTGGCCCCATCAGCACCGTCTATAATAAAGACACTGCCAAATAAAAGGTGAGTGAGCTATGCATAAAATGATGACCTCATGCAATAGTTCACATTTTCTCCTTCAGCCAAAAAATATATCGGACGCCTCCAATGTTCCCATGTTACTTTGTTTTGCTTATGAAAAACTCAAAGCAAAATAAGAAAAGTCAATGTTTTCTTATTTTTCTTTGTGTGTTTAAAAACTACTTTAGAGAGCGCCGCCGTGCCAGAAAATTTACACTGGTCGTGGACGGTTATAATAGGGTAAATAGCCTATGTATATCAGGTGTGGTTTGGTTAAAATCAGCGTTGCTCCGTTTTGCTCCTCGCCTCATTTTGCCCCACCTTCCCCTACTGTCTTACGCTTCAGAACTTTGACTTTCTTCCCATTTTCTCCCCAGGAATGCACTTTCACGAGTTAGGTACTTAGTCGGTCGGAAGATAGAAAAGCACAAGATGTTGGAGTACCTGCTACTAGTAATGCCGCTCTAAAACGCTCTCGAACCAGATAAGCGTGAGTGGGTAATTCTTTCCTCGGGCAGAATACGAAGACAATCGCATCAATTTTGTGCATTGCTGAAGTATACAGCTGAAAAGGGAACGTCATCTAGTCACTGCTTCGTCTCTGCAGAATTACCTTTATGCCAAGTCGCTTCAATGTTCCTCCTAATCCGTCACACTGTCCTTGCCGTTTCAAAATACGAAAACAATCCCATTCCGCAGACATTCCATAGTCTTCTTAGTGCCAAGCAATTATTTACAAAATTATTTTTGCTCTTCGTTCTGCACAGCGCAGCCGTTGGAAAAATAATTCAACTTTCGGGGAATGAATTTCGTTTTGATATATGCCATGAGAGATATCATGAATAAATAAACTGCCACTCTGTCTTGGTTCAATGAATCTGAAATGACTACAAATTCTTATATGTTCTAAAGCCCCGTCGTTCACGACGTTAGCCACAGACAGATGGATTGTGACCATTCATTCCAGTCATAACATTCCAGTGGTAACACTGGAATGTTATGACTGGAATGTTATGACTGGAATGTTATGACTGGAATGTTATGACTGGAATGTTATTCCGTCATTCCAGAGGTAACACTGAATGGCATCCTGAATCACAAAGCAAAATTCAATAAATGATAAATTATGACCAGCACTTCCTTTTCCTTGAACGATCCCCTCATGTTCTTCAGAAATTTTGATTACTCATTCGCAACGAAACCATGCCTACAGGCAGGATTTCATTCCAAAGTATGAAAACCGGAAGAATTTCGCAAACATTGCTTGGCACCAAGGATACTTTGGAATGTCTGCAGAATGGCATTGCTTTCGGAACTACCCGCAGTAAGGGCGCGTGGGACGGATGAGAAGAAACATTGAAGCAACTTCGAATAAAAGTAATTCTGCCGAGACAGATCAGTGATAAAATAACATTCCTTTTTTAGCTCTATATTCCAGATCAAGTCAAGTTTCAAGGTTATTATGAAAAAACTTGTAGGCAAAGATAGTTTATCATCACTGTGTGTTACATATCATGTGATAGGGAATTTTATAACCTATCCAGCGATACCATATTCACGTATTTATCTTCATTATTAAGGGAGTCATGCGAATTGTTGTTATCCCTGGGCCCAAAGTGCCCCAAAACTGTGGAATTTTTGTTCGTATGTCATACTCAGAATACATAAGGCATGGAGCTGAAATTTGCTGCAGTTTGTTTTCTCAATAGGTACTATCAGCATGCCGAATTTAATTTAAATTGGAGGTGGTCGGGGAAGAAAGTGTGTGGATTGACATGGAATCACCCAAATACGGGTTTGGTAGAATATTTTTTTCGATTAATCTTGGTGAGAGCGGGAAGAGATTTCGGTCATTTCTGTAGCAACCCACTTTTTTTCTAGAGAATATATTCGAAGCACAGTAAACAAGTTTCAACGCATATCGCTGTAGTATGACATTGAACAAGCATGAAATACGTATTTAATCAACATCCGGACGTTTAGTTACTGTAGCAGATTGAGCCTTTCCGTGAGCCAGATGCAGCCGAGACCACTTGGGAATGATTTAACGTAGGCTCAGGCTGTTGCAGGCTTAAAACAGGGTGAGAAGGTATTACTCGATCCCAACAAGACCAGTTTGGTTGAGAATCATTCAGAAAATATATATTCCGGGAGAACACAAATACATCGATGAAATGTATACATACAACAAAGGAAAGACACTGGGCGCATTCAGTTGGGATCCGGGTCATGACTTGAGGTTCATGATTCTGTGCAGGTACGGTGCTTTTCAAAAACTATTATGCCCAGGAATGATGATATCTAGATGTGTTACCATCGAGTAAAATTTGCTTCGAAGCCTCAATGCAACCGTTGAACTGAGACCCTCGAGTCATAACTGAACCCGCACACTATATCTTGATTTTTTCTGCAAGGTGAGTCAAAAGTCATGTCCATATTTTGTACGTGAATAAATTCTCAACGCTAGATCTGATTTATATGTGGTTTTCACAGTTCGAAAGACTAGACAATTCTGGAAGGATTTCTCGAAATAAGGATTTTGCGTTATTTTGCAGATGGTATCCTTCGAAAATGAAACTCCTATTCTGTGTATTCTCTACAAATGCATTGCCATGTTAAAACACGCTTACGGGACCTCGTCTAATTGTCTGTTCGAGTAACAGAGTTCTTGTAGCCTGAAGTGAACAATTCCAATTGGTGGAGAATTCAGGAAATTGCTGATGAACGATTGACCATTAATAAGCGAGTTGCAAAAGTTTGGCATTATTCCGAATTCGACGGATTCCGCTCGACAATTCAGCAAGAAATTAATTAGGGAAACCGTCAACCGCAAGTTGATCACCAATATCAACACAAATGTTCACAGTACAGGTACCATGGCAGACCTTCCACGATCTGGACACCTTCTGACAGTCGAACAAAAAAGCTGAAACAGTGCCGCACGTATGTTTTTCGATGATAATGCATTGATATGACCACCCAGAATAGGAACTTCATATCCAAAGGATACCAACGGAAAAATAATGCAAGGATCCTCCTTTTGATTCCAAATTGTGTTGTCTTTCGAATGGTGGAAACTGTACTTCGAAGAGATCTAGTGTTCACAAATTATTGATGTTCAAAAGGCGGGCAGGACTTTTGACTCACCCTTTAGGTACAAACAGAAGATAGTCTAACGGTTATACAACTGATTACATGAAGAGAGTTATTGGAGCAGAAGAGGATAAAGCATTGGCTTCACACTGCTAGCTCTTAATGTGCAAAGGGTCTTCCGAACTTGCATACTACCGACTGACCCAGCCCAATATGATGGAGGTTCTCACCATGTGCCAGGTTTTTGGTGCAGGCTCCTAGGAAGTTCACGACATTCAAATGCATTCCGAGGTGACTCATGATCTTTACCTCCATCATCAATGCCTGGTAATTCTCCAGGCTGGAACGAGGCTTCCTTTTCTTCACAGCAACGGTCGTTTCCGGCTCCGGAGGACGGATTCCAATAGCCACGGCCTTTAGTACGTACCCGAATTCACCGCTGCCGAGCAATTTTCCTGTCGGGATGACACATTCCATGATCATCGGCCTGAGCAACTTCTCCTGGTATGGAGCCTTGGTTCTTACCGAGTTTCAGTTTCTCTGGTGGAAAGTCCCATTGCACGTCAAGGGGGAGATGTGCTTGTTCACTGAGCCCCATGGCTGAATTCAAACTCCCGGGCTGTACTTTCAGGAATATTTCTGTCTCCTCGTTGGACAACGCGATATTTCGGGCCTGAAAAGTTCACGTTAAGAAGTGCATTCCAATTGAAGTTAGAGACGATGCTTGAATGCGTGACTCACTTTTTCCTTTCTGAAGCGGTAGTAGTAAATGGAGCACACAACAAAAGCCACAAATTCAAATCCTGAAGCAGCTATGGCTGAAATGCCAGATTCCCCCAGGGGACGTGCATGAAGATAAAAGTAAATATGGTAGAGGCACCAGTTTGTGGACGGGTTCCTATTCGTTCACAATATTGCGTTTTTTTTTTCCATTCCACAAAATTCACGCCGAAAATTTATTTCCTAAAATGCTCCATATTTTGCACATGCCTGTCGGCCACCATAATAAGTATGAGTAAATTTGGAGATTTTCCCTTAGTTTTAGACTTAGCACCCTTGAATTCCTTAATTTTTATAGTGATATTTCTTAATAGGATATCATTAAAGTTGAATAAAATTGCTGCACATATATCATGGCCTTATTTTTCTAATCGGCCTACGCAAGTTCATAATTGTTGGCAAAACTGGTGTCCACAAATTGAGTCCGTGGATGTCCACAAATAGGAACCGCGTGAAAATCAACACATCCATTTAAACAACTATTGTTAGGAAAGTGTATTTTAAATATTTATTTTAGAGTATGGGCATCAAACAAAGATAAGTGGTCTCCCATCAAAACCAATTAAGCGGTTTCTCAGTTACCACAACGACCGTAATGAAATTTTCAAGAGTAAAAAATCTTTAACCCGTCCACAAACTGGTGCTATTACCCTATCTAATATAATATTACATTGAAAGAGCCAGAAAGTTTCGGTGGCTATCACTCTTACCATGCGAAGCTGATGATGCTATGCCATTTTCGTCCATAGGCCAGGCCATTCACGGTCCAAAGCGCCGGGCCTACAAGACTGACATTCTGGGCCCTATACTTATAAGTTGAAAGAGGCCGAAAGCGGTGGATAATGGTTGTCTCCCCTGCGATGACTATCAGGCAAGGCCTTCAAGGCTATGACATTCTAAGTCATGGGCTAGGACATGAAAACTTTGATACACTTTTAATCTACGTTTAGAAGACTCACCCTGCAGATGGTAGTTTCTACAAGGTGTGTAAAGAGTCCTACACGTCTTTTGAAAAATAATTATTTCGTAATGCCAGATTTGATTGAGACGTGCTTTACACCATTCGAAAGAACAGATAATTCTCTATCAAGTAAAGAGTGTCGAGTTGCCTTTTTCCAGAGACGTAATTTGAATTCTCTCTTTCTCGGGATTCGTTGAAAGGTGTTCACATTTGAAAACACGTATGCGGTGCTGAGTCACGTTGTCTCTTATGTGTCGGATGGACTGTGTCTCCAATGTGATCGATTCCATTTGAAATGAGTTATACAAAAATGACGGAACGTTTGACTATCGAATGTCTTGTACCAATTATTCGGCTTTACTTCGAATTCGGTCAGAAGGTATAGGAAACCACTTGACAATTGAAGAAGAAATTCAACCGAAAAACCGTGAACGCGAAGAAGAAACGGTGGTGGATGTTGCACAGCACGGCGTTGAGGCTTTCGCCGCAGATGAAACGAATGGTGTTGCCACGAAAAACACATTTGCCACCGGTAAAAAAATTATTATTAATGCTTAGTTGGAATCGAAATGTTTCATATATTTATATAGACAAATTTGCGCCCATTAGACGGCCAGTGTAGCGGCCGCAGGCCGCTATTCTAATACTTTGAAAGAGGCCGAAAGTTGTCGTGACTGTCATCACTAAAGCGTGAGGCCTACGATGGCATGCCATTCTAGGATATAGGCCAGACCATCCACGGCCTAAAGCGTCAGGCCTACAATGTTCTGCCATTCGGGGCATAGGTTAGGCCATGAAAACGTTGGTAAATACCATAAAAACCATAAAAAAACAGTGTACACTATGAATGGTAGAGATATGGTCATACATTCTGTCTTACATTCAAAATGGAGATGCTGCATGACATCTTAGCCAAGATGATCAAAACACTGAATACTTTGTACTTTAGGATATACTTTTTTTTCGCGACATCCGCTGTTGGATCGCGCATTCGTTTTGACATTTTTCTTCTTTCTTTTCCTTTCGCCATGGAATGACCCATATGCAAATTACACCAATTTATTTTTTTAAGTCAGCTCCTGAGGTATGGTATTTGTGTGAAAGAATCCACTTCTCATTTCAATGCTCCTTGTAAAGCAGGGAGCAAGCTTATTGGCCTCTTGGCACAATATTGATTTGACTCTTAAATGATTCCATGTAACTATTGATTTCTGTGGGATCACTAAAATCCATAGAGATATAGGCGGTCGTGACCGAGTGAGAAATTCAGTTAGTGAATAACTGAAGCTCATTCTAATCATGTTTTATAGGAGTTAGATATCTGAAACTTGGTACTCATGTGCCTTTTGGGATTCAGAGGTCAGGAAAAACTCGACCTTCAAGCTACATGCCCTGGGCGCACCCATTTTGGGAGGAGATGTTCTCAATTATATATATTTACTACAAGCAAATGGAGAGACATGGAAAGCTGAAACTTGGCATGGACTGTAACTCTGTGTTTATGAAAAATGTCAAGTTTCAGGTGCATGGCGTGGGGGCGTATTTTGTGGGGTAACATTTTCCAAACATTTTCCTTATTGTCATTGCGAATTGGGCCGAAATAAAAACTCGAACATTGTCACACGCATAAGTGAGGTGATGTTCAGTTCAGGGAAAATTCAGCTTTTGTGGTTTATCCCCTCCGAGCATAGCATTTGAATGGATCGGCTTTTCCAAAAATATTCAATACTTACGCACCAGCGAAATGGACTTAAGGATAACGCTGAAACTTGGTAGGCATGTACTGTAGTTCTCCATGAACTGATTTCAGCAGAAGTGTTAATTTAATATAAAACCTCTGAGTGCACTTCTTTTTGCAAAATACACATTTACAAAAAATTTTTTCAGCCAGTGAAAAAGAAAATTGAAAGAAGCTGAAATATGGAGCAGAAATATAATACCTCTTTGATTGCTGAGTGCAAATCCTACTTTTCAAATTTGTCCCTAAGGGCAGATTCTATTGTTGAATCTAATGCAGTTAGGCACGCTATTAATCATCAGTGTAATTTTTTCGATATAAAAATCGGTTCGTCGCCAAGGACACATAATTCGACTGACACATACATATAATACTTTTTGCCATTTCGAAAAAGAATTAATGAATGAATCACTATGTTGGAAAATGGAGCGCCGAATTAAAACAATCATGGCGAGTTTGTCTGATGGGCCAATAAACTAGCTAGTACAATTTATGCATTATTAACATGGTTAAGTTCCCAAGCAGCATGGTTACGTAAACAAGATATCAATTTTTTACAAACAATGTGCATTTCTTGTGATTGCCATGAAAATGACATCGCTTTTACTTAAAATTTATGTTCCTATACTTACGTCACCAAAGTGTACGTATATTTTACATAAACTAGACGTCACTCCATCTGACATGAAGTACATATCAAGTTTATGCAAAGTTAACATCACACTTTCCATATGAAACTTTAGATGACCATCCTGCAGTTGCAATACCAAGATTCCTCACTAGATGGAAAACTTGTTCCCTGCACCCTACAAATGCTATTAAGTACTGGCTTTCCCAATATGGTATCAGGTTTTCTTACCATCCTTCCACTTTTTACTATGCAATCCATGAAAATATCAATATATTGGGTTGCAAAGAAAGTCTTCCAATACTTTGTAAAACTATTTATGAAAATTGTCAAAGGAATGATGGGCGGGGCTTTGCATTTGTATATCCTGGAAAATTTCTCGAAGCTTCTGCCCTTGGGGTATATAAGGCGGCTTCTGCCATTAGTTGGCAGCCATGGCTTCTATCGAACGAGCAACTCTTCTCTCCATCGTCTACTACGAGTTCCTCAATTGCATTTCAATAAAGTTATACAATTTTGAAAAATTTGCGCAGTGTTGCAAGACTTTCTTTCCAACCCAATACATAGAAAGCAGGAAATTATTACATATTTTTAAGAATGTATTACTCAGAGAATCATTAAATACTGAAGCTAAGCTTGTTATTACAGCAGTGCATGGGATTAGGAAAGAGTAGAATCCCAGCTCCACAAGTAATATACCTTCTATATCCATAATGGAAGAGAGCTCCTCTAAACATCTATTCCTCCCCCCTCAAATAGCTCTTGAATCCCTCATTTTCCGATAATCCAGGCCCGAGCTTCGAAGCATACTGGATCATTTTGACCGTGCTGCAGTATTGAAACTAAATCAGAGTTCAGTGCGTTCATGAATGCATTTTTTTTATCTCTACACAAATCCTGGCAAGTAATCAAATGATATCAAGCTATAATAATATAAGGAATAATTGAATTACTACACAGTCTTGATTTGGGAATGTGGACAACATGGAAAAGAGATAGCATTACACATCTGTGTCCGCAGCAGTTTTTTTTTTTAGGACTCAACATCACTGAGCATGCCACATTTGGAAACTTTGGACAAAATTGCCATGGCCTGGAACCAGAAGTTGGGAACCAATACAGCGACAGCCTGAGAGAATGAAATTAGGAACATCACCTTCGGGTTTGGATGGCTGGCAGCATAACTCCTCGGACCGACAGTTGTTCACATTTGAATCCGACATCGTTCCTGGCTGGCAGCTCGAGGATCGTCGTCTCTCAACGCACTTGTAGGGACATTGACGAGAACATCCTTTCATATAATCCGAATCCAAATAGCTGAATTCAGTTCCATTGGCACACTTCCCATAAATGTTGCTTAAAAACTTCCCAACCACCACGAGCCATGCCACGCCACAATCGCATCGGATGGGATTGCCTGGAAAGTGGGGACGATGAACGTGCAATTAATCAGAAGAACGAAATAAGTGTTGAATCCAACTCATTCTGCGATGGTGAGAAGTAGTAATGCTAACCACTTATATTTAGGACTTCTTTTCTTGTTGAGAGAATTTCCAAAATTGGGCGGAAGGTCTCCTCAGACAATGCAACGATTTTGTTGTCATTCAGATGAGTCTCCGTAACAGTTCCGTCGTATATGCCTGGTATGCCTGGAATGCAAGTGAATGACGTCATGCGATTACCTACGAGGTAACTTCAAATTCTGAGGCTTCTTTCGACCATGTCGCTCAGTTAGTATTTTGCAGCTTACGCCGTAGAGACATGATAAATGTATCTGAGAGCTTCAGAAGCACTATCTGGGGAAGTTACCGCTATCGTAATACCTAATGCATTGTACTTGTAAAATAAATGATTTATAGAAATCCTAAAGTACATTTTAATTGAAATAAATAAAATATGTAGTAAATATGAACTGAATTTTTACATTTGAAATGAATCTATCAATATATTTATTTACTAGTTTCGCTATTGTGAGAATATTACGTTAAAATACTCTAGTGCTTCATGCAATTCTAATATGATATATTTTTACATTTGAAATGAAGTTATTTCTCGATGCAATTATTTAGGTGAGGTTTTTGCATTTCAGGCATAGAGTGAAATATCGAATGATGGGCATTTACTCAGTGATGGGCCACAAAGCA